AGTATTTCGCTTAAATTGATAAATATTGTAAGAATATAAGTATATATAATATTATATTTATATAGGTATATAATACTCATTCAAACTGGTGAGTTAGGTAAAATATAATATCATTTTATCAAAGCCCAGAATTAAACTTTCTTGATCTGAAAACTATATAGTGTAAAGCAGGTTTTAACCAATTAAAAACAAATATTCTTTTGAATTTTTAAATTATTGAAATAATAGATAATTATCTAATTTTTTATTTTATAATTTACATAATTTAAAAACTTGTGATTGTTATATGAATAATATTTACAACTTGGCCATTATTATACATACATTTATATTTCTTATATTTTTTTTATATATTATATTTATATTAAATAATACGATTTAAATTCTTTTAGAAATTAAATTATTTTCTTTGTATCACAATGTATTCAAACTTGGTATATTTGTTCAGAAATTTAGAATTTGTTACGAAAATGTTTAGATTTTTGACATTTGGTAATGATGAGATTGACCACCACATATATCACATAATGGGGTTTGTCTTGACTTATCAAAAAGCCGTGTGTTAGATGAGTGTGTCCAATTAAGAGTCGGTTAATTATGATTTTATGAATTTTTCTTTTCTATTAAGTTCAGAATTTTTATAGGTTGATATTTAAATAAATATATTGAATTTTGAAAATTTAAGTAATAATAAATTACCATGATTGTTTCCACTCTAGGTTTAAATTAGATTATCTTATATTTATGATGTTAACAATAGAAGAAAATTATAAAGGTGGCTTGGCTTAGCGCGTTGGCTGCTACCAGTCGCAGAATGCGATTGGGAGTAAGTAACAGTCAACAACTACTAACTCCCGGATGGATGACAATCCGGGTTCTTAGTGGTTAAAAAACCTTGCCACACACACACGTGTTTGCTATCAACCGTAACAACCGTAAAAATCGTAAATAACAACTTATCGTATCAACCTTACACCTATCTATTGTTTATAATCTCTAAAACAGCTAATGGCCCTAGTCGACGGGATTAAGTTAAAAAAAAAAAAAAAAAAAAAAGAAAGAAAGAAATTATAAAGTAAGGTTTCTTAATAATTTTTAAGTAACAACTTTTTTTTTTAGTTTCATTTGAATGATTCAACATATAAACTAACGTTATTTATTGTTTCTAAATAACAATAACAAGCATTAATACATAGATAGTTTATACATTAGTTTATAAAAATTTTATATTTTATTTTTTTGTATAATATATAAAGTGTTTATAGTGAATTTTTTATGATTGAATGTGTTATTTCCAATAAGTAATTTGAATAAAAAATAAAATGTATTTTATTTTTTTTAAATCCTTTTTTAATTAACTTGTTGAGTAATTCATTAACAAAACAATAATAAACTATGATAACATTTGGTTTGATAAGAATGTAAATAAAGTTAAAAAAAAAAAATCATTTTTCAAAAATTTTAATCATTGTTGCACGATTTCAGTAACTTACATTATTAATTATTATACTCGTAAATAAATTATGTTTATACATGATTTATATAGAAAATAACATATTTTTATTTTATTTTAAAAGACCACAATCAATGAGAAAATATTTATTTTTATTTATTTATTAGTTTATTTTTTTTAAGTAAAATGATTGATTAATTTTACACAATAAAATGTACACAGCTTGTTGACTTATATTATGTTAGGGTAGTTAATACTTACATGTTTTTTTTTTTCAAAAATTGAACTCTACCAGATATGTTAATAAAATAAGTGTTTTTCAATTGACTTGACCGTCGGAATTCTATCGAAAATCAAACTGTAAATACATTTCTAAATTTAGTTGAAAAAAATCAAAAAATATTCAATAGCTGAAAAGTGAAGACTGATCAATTTTATAAATATTGTCGTTAACTTTATCGAAGGAAATGATTCGGTTATAAAAAAAATTAATAATTTGTTTATTAAAATAAATGAATATGCGGTTACTTTAACTTTTAAATTAAAATTTTTCTTGATTAATTGAATTTATGTATTTAAAATAAAATAATACATTATAACAATATTACTTGAACTGGGTATAATTTAAAATTTAATTAAAACATTAAAATTTTAATTTTTTATTTAAGAATCCACACTAAATAGTTGTAATTATACAACTATTCATAGTTTCATTAACTTTTCATACACATAAAACTTGCTTATATTATTATAGTGTGATCAATTTATAACACTATATAGTTATTTTAAAAGTTAAATTTTTGTATATAAAACCCTTGACATTTACATAAAATTGTCTAAAGGAATTTGCTAATATGTTTTATAACTTTTATATATCAGACAATAGTTTAATCTAAGTAAAGTTATAAATAAATATTTTCTTCGTAAATTAATGATACCATTGTTTTAATCTTTAAATTAGATTAATTCGGGTTATTCGGATTATATTTTGTAAAAACCAATAGTTATCAAAATAAAAGCACCGAAAGACTTCTCTTTTGGAAACCTAATTATACGCCCATACTCCATGCTAAAGAATAGCAAATATTAGTATATTTTATTTCCGTATCATGATATAGATTTTAAAACTTAAACTGCATACTACAAATATTCAGTCAACCAAATATTCACGTTTATCTCTAGTGGCGGTACATCAAACTCGTTTAGTAAATATTATAATATATTGTGTTCTTTAATCATTTTCAAATTTTCGTAGGCTGATTGAAGAATTATCAACATATTTATTATAATAAAAACTACAACTATAAGTAAAAAAATGAATTAAACTAAATTATTATTACATTATTTATATATATTTTGTTGATTAATAAAACCAATTTAAAATTTTATATCTAAAATCAAGTGTAATTTTAATGAGAAATTTTTTTTTCTATTTAATTATCTAGTGTCTACCTAATATCTATCGATATTAATGTAATTAATTATTATTATTCAACATGCGGCCCAAACAATTCAAGTACGAATCTATCTTGACATTATGGTTTTTAAACTTTGTAACAAGGACAAAAATAGCTATCAGCAATTTTTTTTTTTTTTTTGTTAGATAATTTGAATTAAGTTTGATAAGTATTTCTGATGACCAAATACCCGTGAATTCATGGATTCTCGTACAAATAATAATTGTCATTGTTACAACAGACGGACGAATTCTCACAGTAGAATTCACTGTATAAAATGGTTAACCAATAAATCCTTTTTAGCTTAAATATTTGAAATGCTTTTGGAGCTTACTGTTTCCGATATTAAAACGCGTCGTCTAAAAAATTGTTCTATATATTTTGAAATCGGATTCAATTTAATTTATGGTTTTTATGAGACTCTGAATACCAAACAATAGAAGGATTTGAGTTTACACAAATGTCAATTATGTCAATTATATATTTATTTATTTATTTTTATCACAATAAACGACTTACTGTTTGTATTATTATTATTTTATGTTGAACATGAAAAGCGTTCTGAAATGATTTCAATTTATAAAATAGAATGAATGAAATACTAATTTCAAAAAAACGAAAATAGTAAATTCAAATTGTCCGTTATTTTGATTTTTAAATGAAAAGTATAATAATATTATTATTTATTTCAATAATAACGGTTAAGGATATATTGTTTTTCTGACTGATATTAATTATAACAGCTTGATATCTTATTTTTATAAAGTTTAAACAATATCGAGTTCTTAGTCCTTTCACTACCATTGACGCACATGTACATCAATGACAATTTACATTGATAGGCCATTGATGCATATGCGCGTTCACTCGTTTATAATTTTATAAGATAATCTGATAGAAAAACTGATAACTGCTAAATTGTAGTATTTTCAAAGACGAATTGAACTACGTAAACAAAAATTAGTGCTGTTCTTATCAAAGAAGTTACATGCAATTTAATATTTTCTTATGTCCCAGGCTTTCCAAAATATTGTTATCAGTTGTTATTTTTTGATAATTTGTTATCAATATTTGATGTTTTGAATTTTTGACTGTCTTGTTTGAATGTTCATCAGTCATCACGTATTTAGTATTAACTGTACATCTGAGTGACTACGTTTGTATTAATTTTTGTTATACTTGTGTATTTGTTGTCAGTATTATTCTACCGATAGTACTATCATGCCACATATAATGATATAATGAAAGTATATTGGCAAGTTTGGATGCAATTATAGCAAATTAGGAGTCAGACGACGAATTCATTAGTGATTTTTTCGGTAATTATTATTATTAAATAATTATAGTACGGTATTATATAAAATGTATACCCTATAAACTTATGTATTTCATTATTTGAGTGTTATACTTATGTATTGTATTATTTCTAAATTGGTATGACACTACATCAGAAGAGTTATATTCATTCACTTCAGTACAAATGCTTATGGCCAGGAATAAAAAACTTGAAATTGCAGATTATTGGTCTAAAGATCCACTACTTTATTCTCCTATTTTTGGAAAAAACTATGAGTAGAAATCGGTTTCAATTAATTTTGCGTTATATTAATTATTATAATAATAACAATAAAATAAAAAATGACCGCTTATTCAAAATTGATATGGTATTACAAGACATAAAGAATAATTTCAGATATGCTATGGTGCCATTTCAAAATCGTGTTATAGATGAGAGTTTGATGTTATGGAAAGGGAAACTTTCATTCAAGCAATTCATAAGGACTAAACGTCATCATTTTGGAATCAATTTTTTTTTATTTGATGTGATGTAGAAACAGATTATTTTAGATTTATAATATAGGTACACAGGAAAAACTACACGTCTTGTTTCATGTGATGCTAACTTAGAGAAATCAGGTGCTATTGTAAAAACATTGATGAAAATATATTTGAATAAAGGTTATAATCTGTCAGTATATAGAGTATGACCTTTATTTATTTTATAAACTGGTATTCATCACCAATACTATCAATGTTCTTGCATAAAAAAAAAATACCAATATTTTGGAACTGTAAGATGCAATCGTCAAATGCCACCATTTAAAAAAACTAATTTTCAACCAGGTCAAACTGAAAGTAAACATACTGGAAAAATGTTAACAATAAAATGGATGGACCGGAGAGAGATGCATATGCTTACCACAATACACGAAGATGAACAATTACCAATTCAAAAACATGGTAAAATAACAATGAAACCTAAATGTGTTAAAAAATACAACGAAAACATGGGATTTGTGGATAAAACTGATATGATACTAAGTAGTGTAGTGTGTAAGAAAAACAATAAAATGGTACAAAAAAATATTTTTTTCATTTGATAGATTTATCATTGTTAAATGCTTACTCATCTTATAAAACAGTTACTGGAAACCATATGCCAATAGCTCAGTTTCAGATAGAACTAATAAGACAAATAATAGAAAAATATCATACCGATCGTGTAACAAAATCAAGACAACCGATTAAAGATCAACCATCAAAACTAATTGATAGGCATTTTCCATCAGAAGTTCCAGCAACACAATCTGGAAGGCTTGCCAGAAGAAGATGCCAACTATGCAAGAAGAATAATAAAAGAACTGACACTAGATGCGTGTGTACAGAATGTGATGTGGGCTTATGCGCAGCACCTTGTTTTAATATTTATAAAAAATGTTTGGAAAATTTATTTTTTGACACTTTTTGTTGAACACAACAATGATTGATTCTCATTCAGACATTATCAGAACGGACTTTTTTATGATACCATCGTAAGACTTTTTACTGATAAAAACTACTTTGATTTCTATGTATGCAGTTATTAACGATTGATATTCATTTTCTAATCGAGTGAGTACACATAAGATATTGTTAGTATCGTATTTTTTTTTACGTTTTTCGGTTTGTACAAACATCGGACAGTCTTAAACAACACCATACTATAGTAACTACGAAGAGTAAGTAATTATACCACAAATTTCCAAAAGTCGAATACCTGAATACCTGAATTTGGAAGTCCTACTATCATGTTTATTTAGATATAATGACATTTTAATATAATATAGTCTATATTACGGAGGATTGTATCAGGCCTGTGTTATTATAAGACCACGGTGCATTGCCGCTTTATTTGATAAAACAGTCGGATATCGTTCTGAGTAGGTTATCCAGTGGTGGGTAACGAGCAATCGAGTTAAAAGGGATGTCGGGAATGCGTAAAAACAGACGGTTGTTGCGGTGTAATCTAGTTAAGTCGGCAGATAATGGTGCCGAGTACGTCGACGATTCCGCCGCTGCAGCCGCACGGACGCTGGAACAAAAGGTCAGGAGATTCCGTGAAGAATTGTGTTTGGTTAAAATATTAGACATTGTTAATCTTTATTAATTTCAGAATTCATTACAAGCCCAAAAACTTAACGGACGACTTAAAAAATAAATTCCATTGTTGAAACAGCGCCACGTGTCTTAACGTTTTACACATGCGCGTATTAAACGGTACACATCATTGTTATTATTCACGGGAGCTTTACAGCGTAATTTTATTATAAGTTAAATGTGTGAGCGTAATCAAATAGATAAAATGCAATTTTCTAAATGGGTCACGTGATTTATAGATACCTTCACTAATCTATCAAAATATGTTTTTTAATAAAAGTTATGCTAGATTTTATGCAAATTAAATGTCATTATTGTTGAATGGTGAATTATCAGTATTAGAACTGATAATGAATAACATTGTTTTTATTTTTTTATTTTTTTTTTTAATATTAAAATAGACGTTTTCAGAAAAAGGTGATCAATTAGTTATTAAGTCTTGTTTATTCTTAATTTTTATTTTTTATATATAATATACTCACCTATGAAGAAGATATCAGTAGTCTTCCCAAATATTTGTCATTTAGCGAAATTAAATTTACTGTTATTTGTGACAATTTGATGCATTTATCGAAATCACATCGATATTAAAGTTAATTATGACGCAATAGCTTACTATTTTATTTTAATACGGTACATGGTCCAAAGTCCAGTAAAACGATATTATTTTTATAGTTTTTGTACCTTTTTGGTTATCAAATTTAATTAAATATGACGATATACCTAATTAATATGTTACGTTAATATTATGATATCAATGTGTAATAAATAACAAAAAAATATATTTTAGATACTTAAAAAAAATACAAAAAGTTACGGTGGTAATAACAATCACTATTAATTAGCGAATAAAAATAAAGCAAATATTTACTCGGATTGAATGAATCGCACCACCGAATCGTTCGTTAATTTGAACCTAACCTAATGTGAATTTGTCCGACCAAAGACGGTCTTGAATCGGGACCCCGACGCTCAGACTAGGATTAAATAATGAACAAACCATTTAGCAGACCATTGACCCCGAAATAAAGGTCTGCCGCCACCGTCGCTTTTTGGCGTATCGAAAACGTCAACACCGACCGAAGTGAGCAAGACGGTTATTTCATATACGTTCTTAATGCAATGACGCGGAGGCAGCCTTTGGACCTGTAATACACAGTCTGTCATATATAGGAATTACAGCGAACACGCTTCAGCGGACAATGTCAGCACGTCCATCACGAACGACACATACATTATACAATGTTATGGAAAGATATTGTTTTTTATCTCAGTCGCATGCCACGCATCTGTGAAGTTGACAACGACAATATATTATTATTATAATAGTATGTTGATACATGAACGGAACTTCAGTTTAAACTATTTATTATTTACCTGTCTAATGTCTATCTACTGCGTGAAAGTGGTGTGTTATTTTGGTAACTATAAAGCGTTGGCTATAATGATAATACATATTTTATCATAAATGTACGACATATGTGTTATGTAAAACTATATTATTAAAATGTTTAGAAATTTCTTTAAAAATATCCAATTACTTTTTTGGTTTAATAAATATTAACTGCTACTATTAGCAGGTTATAGTTAGAAGAAATTCTAAAATTATAGATTTATAATTTGTTTATTTTTCATACATATAACAAAAATTATACTGCAATAAATTATTTATAGTAAGCAAGTACATTTTAAATTTATAGATAATTAAACAGTTAGTATTATTATAGGACACAAGAGAGGATTATACAATAATTTATAGTATTTCAAACAAAATATGGATATAAATCATTTTTTTTTTAAGTTATTTAAATCCAATAACTTACCATAATAGCAAAACATACTAATTACATCAATAAAAATAAAAATGTATTATTACTTATTCTACTCAAGAGCAAATTAATAATTTTCTAAGGTGTCTACATATTACATATTTTTTTTTTTTATATACCAATTTATAACTAAGTATGGTTAAAATTTACATCAATACTCATTAAAATTATCATTTTATTAAATACTTAAGTTAAATTTACTGGAATTAAGAAGGTTCGAACCTAATTGATTCAAATTGGTTCCTTGATTGTGCAGCACTGGAACAGTTGTAGCTTCGTTTTATACCGATAGAAAAAAAGCAAATCTGAACTCTAATATTATCTTATAATCCTTTGATAGCCTGCTAAAAAAAAAAATATTCAAAGTTCTTTAATGTGCTTTGTATTATTATTTTATTTATTTGTTTGAATATGTCAGGAGTGTACGAAATTAAATAAATAATACTCATAACTTTATGATAAAAAGTAACAAATACACGTGAAAAATTTTAATTAAAATAAATTTATTTGTATAAAAAGTTCAAAGTGATCACTTTAAAAGTAAAATAACTTAAAGCATTGACATAATATTTAAAGCTGTAATCATTGAGTTGAATAAAATCTGAAACCGATTAAATAAAGATTTTAAAACGAATTTATAAGTAACTTATTTCCCGTGATTTTTTGTAAAATGTATGGTGTTTATTTTAATTTAAAAACTTTTACGATTTTTATTTTAAGTTTTAATGATTTTCGATATCTTTAAGTCGTTCTATAGTGATTTACTAAATCGCAAATCGTAATAAATAAATGGAAAATAAATGTACATTATGATTATATACCCCACTATTGATGTAATTATGGAATTCAAAATTATAAAATAATAAGATAATATACATATGGTTTGTGTTGTTGTTAAACAAAACGAAATTTACTTAAGCTAGATTGTGTATACTATGGCTATACTTCGATTGTAAATTTTACTTAATATGCAATAAAATACTGTATAAATGGAAAATTTAATTTTTATACTTTCCAAAAATGAACGAATAAAAAAATATCTAACGTGATCAAGAACATGAAAAAATTCACTAAGCTAAACATAATATATTATATATTATTAATATAATATGTAACTAATCTAATGTAAACTGATATATTTTCGATAGCTGTGACCAGTCATTTCAATCAGGTTTATATATACTTGATATGCATAGTGATATGAAAAGTGCAAATCATACCTTTAAGTTTAATTTTAAACGTATTATTAGGTACCTCCAAGTTTTTAGATTGTTCTAAAATATTTAAAAAAAAAAATATTTGTATAACCATTAACATAGCTTTATTTTATAGTATAAAGGGTAATATAAATATTTATGTAAAATAATATACTATGTCCTAATATTTTTTATGTAAGTCAAATTTTTCACTTAATTAATTTTGAATAATAATATCCTAACCAAATGGCTCTCCAATAGTTAATACTATAAGCTCTTTCTAAACGCGTTTAATGTGCATATATGCTATACTTGGAAGAAAATAAAGATAAACTTAAATATTAAATAAACGACAATTATTAAAATATTTTAATAATTTTGTGTTTGAAAGACTTTTTTGATAAGAAAGAGAAAAAATATGAGTCAACATGAGTTTTTATTATATTTAGGTAGTGCATTAGCTCGGTCTACTGTAAATACATAAGAACGAATGTGACTGCTGCGATGTGATTACTTTATTAAGCTTATGATTTTATTTTTTGAAATTCTAAAGGATTTCAGCTCAAAACCGAAATAATATCAACGTGTGTGCGTTTGCTTTTAATAGGAAGTTATTTTTAGCCAATCGAGGGTATGGTATGTAATAATGACAAGGTCGAAATCTTATTCAAGATATGTTTAAGCATACTTTTCTTCATATATTTTACTACGATATTAATGCGCTATCAAACTATTACAAAGCGAATTAATTATTCTAAGTATTGTATTAACCAATAGGACGGTGGCAAATTATATTTTTATTGTATTACTATTGTTGTTCCGAAGACAACACCCATTGTATCTTGATCATGCAATCGATACGTTTATTGGAGATTTACGATTAATAAAAAAATTGCTATTTTTTCCTGTTACGCACTCAGACGTATATTCTATACTAATCAATAAAATATTTCACGGTGTTAATTAAAAGTTCATAATAATACCAGTCCATCCAACAAATATTTAATATTTTAAATCATACAAGATATCTTGTATTTTTAATAGTTGATATTTTGAAAATATCCTGTAATTATCTCTTATCTCCTCAGGACCTAAAATAGATAAATTGACACCAACACCCACCAAGTGACGTACTTACTGCAAACTTGATTAAGAATGAGAATAAAAATAAACACTAAATATTATCAATGACGAAGGCTTCTTTTAGACACTCAGTATTATTTATTACAACAATAACAGAATTAATAGTATTAATATTGATTACTTAATGCACCGTTTATCAAACAATTTTTCCAGTATTATTAACACAACAAAAAAACCAAGTCACCATCTCTAAATATTATTGCATCTATTCATCTATAAACCGTCATAACACGTTACGGGGGTTATTGAGGTGCTGAATTATAAGCGATTAAGTATGACAAATTCGTGGTTCACGTTCATAAACCGTTTAACAAATACAGTTATTAAAGATTTATACATGTACATATTATTTTGTGGAAATACATTACTTGTTGATGTTAAAATACAGAGTCTTAAATATGTATATATATGCACACATACGTATCAACACATAAATAGTTAAGTTAATGATACAAATTCACGAAAATCAAAAACGTAAAGTCAACTCAAACTCATCGAATAAATTATTTTTTGCACTTGCAAGTTTACATGAATTGTTGTCTATAATTAAAATACTTAACACTTGTTAAATAAATCACTAGTTAATATTAACAAAAATATTTTACTTAGATAATCGCAGCACTGTGAATTTTTTCACTTTCTTAATTCAAAAAAAAAAAAAAATAAAAAATACATACATTGTCTTAGGTATATTCTAACTATTCTAAACTGAAAATTGTATATTTTATATCTTTGTATATTTTAGGAGTTAGTTCAAAACACAATTTAGTAAAACTATATTTCCATATGTTTATTGCACGTTTGAGAGGAAAACATAAATATTTGCTATTTGAATTTCTTAT